ATCTCATCTATCAAAATCGATTAATCTACCACGCATCTTCTCCCTCCGAGAGTCTGATGTGACTCCCAGGTGTTGAAGGCAAAGACCTCTGTCACCTCTTCCTGCACATGGACAACGACACCAAATAATTCGATATCATGGGGAGCTGCTGTTCTTGGATCCACACATCACAAGAAATATCCAGAGATCCAGGTGGCATACACACCATGAAACAGCCATCTCATTACGTTTTCTCCGTGCCCAATGTCGTCGCACCAGCACCAGCAGGCCATTTGATAATCGTTTGAACCTACCGCTGTGTCCCGAGTCCCCCTCGTTTGCGTTCCTCTTAAGTCGCCTGACGTCGACACCTCCAAGCCCCGGCCTCAGATTCATCTCCGAGCCCAGGGATAAAGCCCAACCCCTCAAAGTCCGAATCCGACTCCAACTGCGATGGGGCGGCCCCTCGCGTCCCTCCTGGCGGAGACGTGCGCCACGAAGCGCCTTTGGAAAAAATGCGGAAGGATCGAGACTCTCCGGCGTTCACGAGGACTGGGGCATTTCGACTTGACCCGTCCACAGTGAAGAATGAAGCTCGGAGGTGCAACCTAAACTCAAGGTACAAAAAGTGGGGCCAACACGTCCAAATAGGACTAGATAGGTGTGCTTGTAGTCAAGATCTCTCAAAGAAACAATGAAGTGAGAAAAAACGGGATAGGGACCAATATATATATATATATATAATCCCGTGAAGAGGAAGTACTTAGATTGGACGAGCAACAGCCTGGGGGCACTTGCTCGTCCAGTTGGCACATGTTGCTACAAAAGTGCTGAATTGGATCTGACTAGGGCCATTGCCCATTCTCTAGGCCCTGGGCACTTTGGCATGGGGACTCCAGGTGTTTGATCTTACGTGCCGCATCTGGGCCGAAGCCGGCACCGTCTCCCAAGTCGGCAGTCGGACGGTGACAGGTCTGGAATTCCGCCTGCCTAGACTCGAAGGTGGAGAATCTGCCCACCCACCCCACACATATAAATGACACCTCGTGTGTCCGAGTTCCAGCATGATCCTGCCTGAAGTGGTCACCTCTGCTGAGCTGGCATTGGATCCATGAGCCTTCTGATCCTGACCACGCCGAGCAGTTACAGGTGCCACTTCTCGTCACAAAGTCGGACCACAACCCTCAGACCATGACGCACGATCATCTATTTATCCATCCATCCATCCATCCAATCTATCGATCTATCTATCCCAAACACTCATGGGACTGGCAGATTTAATTTATCATATATTGGGGGGGTCTACGTATAGGCATATGTATCATACATGGAGTTTCTGGTTATTTAGATATACATACTCCACCAAAATCGGGCTGACGTTCGGTATTCCACTCTCGTTTTCAGATCTAGGCGAAGACCACAACTTGACAGCAATAGGTGCAGTGCAAACACATTGTTGTGCTGCACACCTGGTCTTAAACACATTCGGTTGATCCAAATAGTTATCGTTGATGTTGCCCAGGGGGATGCTATGTCATGATCCAACACCTAAAGATACAAGTTCAATAATTAATTAAATGGTTGGCGAATGTTAGCGACATAAACATCTGTATGAATCCTCCTGTCCAAACAATCGTCCAGAAAACATAGGAAAACCACACTGCGTCAAAGGTAGCACACTCAAGCATACTGACATACAACCCTTGAACGCTTTTTTAATAGTTGATTAATCATGTACATATCATATCCGTCATGCTCAGCCATGCTCATACCCTTGGCATGCAAGTCTTCAAACGGCCATACTGCCGGCGGAAAGCACTGCAGTGCGCAGTGGGAACCACCCCGTCCCTCTGCATCGAAACACCCAATCAACAAATGAGTTGGGCATGGCCACCTATTACGGAATTCTATAATCAACACCCAAGGGATCCTCACATTCCACTGGACAACTCACCTTACAGTGCTTTCAAAAAGTATGTAGACTCTTGATTAATCAACCATCTCATTTGAGTAGAACTGCCTCTTCATGTGCGGGATTTATCAATCAAGAGTCTACATTAAATGGCACAAATGTCCAAGTTCAGTGGACCCCCCATTAAACATCAGAACATCGAACAAGGGAAAACCTGCCATCTATGCCCTGAAAGAAACGCACATGGACACTGAAAACCACTGGTCTGTAGAGGAAACACTACTGGTATGTCCAGGTCCCATTCTCAGGGACCATGTTAGTTTTCGGGAGTGTACTCTGAAACCGCTGAATTCAGCAACCCCTCCTCCCTGCACATGCCGGGCCCGTCCTCCCTGCACTCGACCGCTCCAGTGTAGCGCGCGGTGTGCGGCAAATCGCACTCTGAGTCGTCCGACCTGATTCGCACAGCGGGGGTGTGATCCTTTGACAAGATGTGCAAGCGATTCAACTTGGGAGAAGAACTTAGCTTCGTCCATTACGGATGCATGCTTTTATTTTTAATACGCAGTTGGATCTTTATGAAACTGACTGCACTGCTTCCGCCCTCAGTGCAAATGTATTTGGATGTCAAGCTGTCCTGCCGCAGTGCCTGCAGGGGTTGGGCCAACTTCTGCTTCTTAAGCTATCAAGTTAGGTCGGCGTCGGCCGATTGTGCTTTTTTGAGGAAGTGGAGAGGCTTCAGACATTCACAACCCAAAGCTGATGTCCAAGCTGTTCGCTCAATGTTCAAGAAAAATCTTCATCCAAGGAGTATCAGGCTCATCCGGGCAGGAGAACAACCGATAGCCAAAACAAGAACAGGTAACAAGTGTTCACTTTCGGGTGCCTAAGGGTGTTGTCAAAGGTGTTGTTTGATCTGTCAATCACGTCTCTGACGATGAGAAGTTGCAACTGCCCACGCCCAGCCACGCTGTTCCCTCAAACTGGTGGATTTGAGACGCAAAAGCCCTCATACCCCCTGGCCCCTCCAAAGAATTCGGGTCTGATCCCTCCAAAGGTTTCGGATACGCGTCTGAGTGGCCATGGCAATTGAGAACACTGATCAAAAAGGAGGCTTATGATGTGGGACACACTGCCGTTGGGAGCAGTGTTTAAACAAAAATGTTCCAAACACTCCATGTGTAGCAGATTGACCTGCATTGGGGTGGTTTGGGGGGGCGAATGATGCGAATGTATTCATATTTTGCATAGAGCATCTGGGATTTAAAGCGTGCCCTTTGACGTCTGTTCGCTGCCTCTAGCGGCGACGAAGTCTCAAATTGTTTGTGATCGTGTGTGACACGGGTGTTGCTTTGTTTACGCTATGCATCACACGTTGAGCCACATCCACATCGGTCGCTTCAATTGTTCAGCTGTTTTTCGCCAGGGCACAACACCAACGGCTTCATGCCATTCAAGCACTTGAAGTTGAGTGCTGGCCGGACTGGCCTGAACATTTCACCCGGACTCTTCTGCACTGCGCAACCTGTTCTGTTTTTTGGGAGGACCATCTGTTCAGCAATTGACTACCCGTCTTAGTCTTGGTGTGCTTGCGTGGGATTGGATGCAAGCACACCCTCCAAAGCCGACCCAAAGGCTGAGAATGTGAGTCCAAATGGGCACGTCGGCGTGTGAAGAACATGAGTTGTAGGTTGGAGGCCATCGCTATTAGGTTGGAGGCCATCGCAGTAGGTTCTCTCTCTCACTGGACGGCACCCAATTCACCTCCTCTCCCGGCCTCGCCCACGGTTGGAGCGACTCCTGGACGGGCACAGGTACCAAGGTGCCCTTTGACCACACAAAGACCACGTGATTCCTGGGCTGCGGCCATCACGATCGCCCATTCCGCCACCCGGTGCACCAGAAGAGACCTGTGAATAGAACTATTCAGAGATTCATCATAAAAAAACACAAAGAAATTGGAATATTCACCATAGAAATGGAACATGTCAAAGGAGCAGTCCGAAACCAAAGGAGCAGTCCGAATCGATGGCGAGTTTCTTCTATCTCTCGGGAATCGATGGTGTGTTTTCTTCTAAAAAAGGCCTGCTTGGTTGATCCAAGGCATAGCATCCCTTATGACAACATGTCACAATAGTTTTATATATATATATTATATAGGCGTATATATATATATACATGCGTATATTACAAGTATATACACATATGACATACTGTAAATTTAATATTGCATTATATCACAGCAACTTCGCCGTGTAACTCCACGAGAAACTTCATCTGTGCGTTTCTCATCACAGCTTAGACTCAATGTTGCCATGGTGTTTCACCGGCACGCAGGATTGCAAAATTCCGTCTGGGTACCAAAAAGACTGCCTTATACCCCTATGACAAGCAGCACGTATTGACAAATTGATCAAGAAGTCACCGGTCGACCCCGCAGCACTCTCTGCACTTGCGCTGTCTCACAGCCACTGCAGCCCAAATTCACGGGACCCCACGCATCGACGGTTTGGCTGGCGGATGGTGCACCCCACCAGGGTTCGGTAAAAACAGCCCCAGGCTTGGCCAAAGAAGCCTTGAGCTCCCAAGGGCCCAGGAGAGAGGTTTCACCCGGCGGTTGCCGGGTTTCAGCCACAAAGAGCCAATCTTGTAGCCACACAAACCGCATGTGACATGCGTGCCAACCTATCCAACCTCACTACGTATCTCACACTTGCCTTGGTTGCGTCATGAGTCATGAATTGCCTGACTGGGGTGAAGGCACAGATCGTTTTTGTACCTGGTCACTCTCACTTCATGTGCTGGAAAGAGATGGAAAGAGTATGCCTCGACAAAGGGAAGCACAAACATCCAAAAAGCATTGCAAACCTGAAATGAGGACCCTGCCAAGGAGGTGGACTCTTGATGGAATTCCCTGCAGGCCGGACCCATAGAAGAGCACTGTAGTGAATAGTGCCAGGAAGCCTTCCTGATCGCCCCTGATGAACCTGCCACTCACACATCTATAGTTTTTGAGAGTTGGTGGTTCCCCGAAGCCACTGTCCTCCAAACCATTGGGAGTTCCGATTCTCTCAACACATCACCCAGGTCCCGGGTCCCGTGCCCTCTTTTGGCGTCCATCGCGGGCTGAAGACGGGGGCGCAGGACGCACCGCGAAGCAAATCACCACAGAGAGAACTCTGGGGCGAATTTCCTCCATGTGACGGGATTCCGAACACCTGAAACCCTCTTTGAGAACTCTCACCCTTCGACAAACAACTGAAACCGATTCCTGGAAAAGGATCCTCCTGCGGCAATGCGTCTTCGCAAACCGTCTCATCGGGTGCTCGCCATCTGAACTGAGAAGTATTTTTGCTCGTGCCATGCAAAGTGGGGAACACAAATGAACACTATCTCACTCGCCTTTGCTACATCTCACGGCATTGTCTTCTCTAGGCGTGAGCAACTACCCCACCATGTGCTAAGTTCACCCAAGAAGTTGCAAGTTCTAGATTCAGGCACAAACAGAAATCTATCTATCTATCTATCTAAAACATCCGGTTCCTGGTTGACTTCGAAAGACCAGTCACCGACCATCTGCGACTGCTAGACGAACACTTCGGACACTTTCAGCTTCGAAATGCTCTGCATCTCGGCAGCGGACAATTGAAAGGAGAAGACTTCCAGGTCCGTCTTCATGTGTTCCGCTTTCTCCTCAGAACGGTCGGGCCAGGTCGGGCCCAAGAGTCCATGAGGAAGTGAGACCGGCCAGGCCGATCGACTTCGACTCACTAACAAGGCCGGATTCTCCACTGAACTGCTAGTGAGTCTGGGTGCAATTATCAGATCGCAGAAGTCATGTTTAAGCAAGTGATGGGGGGGCTACAATGTGGCAGCGACAAAGAGATGCGGTGGCATGTCCACCATACCTTCCTTGAGCATTGTAGCGCACCAGCACCAGACCGCAGACAAGCAGCAAACCGCAGCAGAAACAGCACCAGCAGCAGCAGTCAAGCAGCAGAAACCAGCAGCAGCGGCAAAGCAGCATCAGCAGCACAACGAGCGGCAACGAGCAATAGGGCTCTGATTGCCATCTTCCACAAGCACCTTATTGATGCAAGCATCCAACATGAGTTATGACTTATAACTTAGAACCATGATATAAGGTTTCCAAGTGTACTCGCACTCGTCGCCATCTGCCTCCCCACACCCCTAACGAAAACCCTCTTCGTTCGCAGAAACTAACTTCAGCTTATGCGTGTGTGCGCCATATATGCTCACATTGCCTGAAAAAAAAACAGCCATTGGTATTCTTTGGTGCGCCACCTTCCCCCTCTTTTCTGCGAGCTGCCGTGCCGACCACAACACTGACATTCTGCTGGAGCGACCAGCGAAGGACAACTTGCGCAGTAGAGACATTGTGCTTTTGAGCCACCTCCTGCAGTGGTTCGGTCATTACTGATCCACTGGCTTCCTTGGACGCGCATCCCCAAGTTATCATGATTCGGCTCAACCCCAACAACTAGAGTCATGATATACAAGTCTACTCATCTCGCACAAGTGTACGCATGACAAATAGAGTTATATGCTTGCAAAGGAGCCCTTTTCAAACTCCCAAAAGATCGTGTTGATGCCTGAGGCTCTGCGGCCGCTCTGAGTGTTGCGGCGTCCACCCATCCATCTGGCTGAACAAAACCATAGACAATCCCCAAATAGGGAATCTTCCACAGCTCCCCCATTTGGAGCAGCTGGGCACTGTTTTTGATGAAGATGTGGTCAACTACCACCAAAAGTGCACCCGGACACGAATTGACAAGATTGGACAGTATGGCATGTTCCGCACTCAACGGCTGGCCCTGCTCCTTCACAACGGGGTCCAACAATGCCTGGTGGCCAAAAGGAAGAAGCAAATGTGGCTGGAGGAGGTGATACGGAAAATTCCCCTGACTGCTTCTGTGCAGTTTAATTGGAAACTTGCCAGGTGGTATCAAGTGGTGACTGAATGGACGATGAACTTCCAACCAGTTGCAGTTGCAATGGAAAATGTTTCATTTCGGTCTTTTCCTTGCCAAGATGGTAAAGCCCCTACCAAGATGGAGGGTCAACATCAACCATCACAGTTTGGGCCCCACTCCCGACTTGAAACCAACCCCGCACCAGCCTATCTCACACATGTCGCAAATAACAAATCAACATTAGAAATAAGTAGCCTGGTATCCCCTACGTGGTTTTATAGATTGTTTGAGTTTGGGGTCAGTATATGTCAGTATCTATTTGTTTCCGTTGTTGTCATTGTGTTGCTCTTTCCGCTCCAGCTTCTGCGTGTTTTCCTCTTTTCATTTCTTCATCGTCTTCGGCACCAGACCTGCTAGGTAGACCCGTAAGAGTAGAAGTAGTAGTGAAAATAGAGGCGGTAGTAGTACTAGCGTAACAGTTATAGTCCAGCACATATAGCAAAAACAATCGTAGTAGTAGCCAAACTCGGCCCCAAACACATCCAAAAGAAAGTTTCATGGCTGGATAGCCATGTGCAGGTTCCAACCTCTGGCGGCAGCTGAAGGGGGTTCTCTATGAGCAGACCTATGGGGGCCCTGAGACCTTCCAGCAAGGGAACATGGCCGCGGGAGGGCCATGGACCCTAGCGAAAGCCACTTTGTTGCTGTTGTCGTCTCTGCTTCGGTTGCTCCTACTGCGACAGGTGGGTGGTGTCATCGCTCTCGTGAAAGCATATCTGGTGAAAAGTCTGGGTTTCAAGGTGCCCTGCCCCACCTACCCTTAGAAGAATCAATTCATGTAAGAATGGATCCTGTCACCCTCCACCTTGGTGAGTAGTAATTTGCTGCTGCTGCTGCTGGTGGCGGCACGTGTTCTTTATTGCGTAGGACCACCCACAAAGCAGCACTCATCTTGGCCGTCCTCCCTCTGCACTCCGGGCGGCTGAGGCGTTGCGCCCTGACAAGGGTGACCAGGCTTCGAGGGCGATGGCGTTCTGATGGCAAAAGGCCTTCCTTGGAGTCGTTGCAGGCCAGTTGCCACTACAGGGCTGAACCACAAGCATGAACACACGGGGGCTTTGGACAGCTTCTAAGAGGGCGTCTTAGGGATGGTTGTGAGTCGTTCTTGCTTCATAGCTGCTAAACCCCAGACATGCCAGACATGCTCCTCCTCTTGCAGCCGCCCCGCTAGCGTGTCTATAGGGCACATGCTTTCCGGTGCAAATCTGAGGCACGACAACGCTTTCAAAATGTATGAGCTCATATGGTAAATTGGAATTGCATGCAATATATGTCGTCAATCTCCTCGCAAACGGATAAACCAACGTGCCCTTGGTTCAAAAGGTGATTCTATCTACCTCTCTCTCTAAACACAAATATATACACAAGATTATACATACATATCGTACAATAACTTATTAGATACGCAGGGGTTGAACATCCAAAAATGAGTCATGCCTCTCCCAAAAGTCGACACATCAACATCAAAAATCCGACCGGCTGAATCAACAAAATAAACAACCACTCGGAGGGACCAAACCTGGAATAGCCGGGAGTTCGTCGATCTGCTTCTTGGGCTCTTGGCTGGAAACCTCTTCAATCCCAAGCACTCCATGGCACTGAATATGTGCCTTACATTCGCCCCCCAAACCACCCTGATGTCGGTAAATATGCCATGCGTGGAGCCTGTTGGCCCAGGCTGCCTGAGTTCCACAGCCTCCGTGCCTCCTCTGTCTGAGGAGTCACGGACGCTTGCTTCAGGATTGCTCAAAATTCACGTTTGTTTCCTGAGTTATTCTGGCTATTCTCCAGTGACTTCAATCATGAAATGGATGACTGACCTAGGGCGGCGGGCCAACTTGGTGACAAAAACAAGATCGAGACATTTGCAGAATATACCTGGGTCTTCATTGAGCAAAAACGTTAGTTGTTCTGCCCTTGCTGCCTTTTTGTGTTTCTGTTTTTTCTTGCATTTGTTATTTGTTGTTTATTTGTGTTTGTTGTTTCTTTCGCTTTTGGTGCGGGCCTTTGCTTTTGTGTCCTTGGTTTTTCTGTTTTTGTTGCTTTTGTTGCTTTCATTATCTGTTCTGTTTGCTTCGCTCTGGGGGGATGCGAAATCTGCACTATTTCCTCAAATCCACTTGCAGTGCTTGCCACGAAAACTAGTTACAGTATGTTTTGAGTCGACCATGCTGCACTGCCTGCACTGCACTGCCTGCACTTGACCAACACTTGAACGAAATCTGCGCTACGTCTTCTCAAGCTGACTCATCATGGCTTCATATTGCTTCCTTTGCTGCAGCTAGGCTGGCATTCAAAGCACGCCTGTCCCTATACAATTTGTTTAAGGCTCCCAGCCTTGTTTTCCGCAGGGTTGCTTAACGATGCTGTGCTTGCCATGAACACAGGAACATGCAAAATCTTCAACTTCTACACTCAGGAGTATACCTCTCAGTGGCAGAAAGGGCCACTCCAATGTCGCAAGGTAGTATCCCTTTTGGTTTGGGGGTTGGGCACCAAGAGGAAGTAACCGTTCAGGCGCCGAGGGTGCAGCGCAGGTGGACGGAGCCATTCCAGCTTAGCCAGTTCATTGCAGACCCAGGCCCCACGAAGTCAGAAGCTTCGTAACTGTAGGCTAGTGGACAGCGAAAGATGTGTATTAGATGGGAAGAACATGCATAGGACAGGTACAAATGTGTATTGGACTTGAATTTGACGGGTAAAGACATGTAAAGACTTGTTTTTGACTGTAGAGCAAATCACCCGGGGCTTTCCTTCAACAAAATCAAGTCCTGCTGGTTTGACAGCAAGCTCTAAATCTCTTGAGGGAGCAGCAGGCGCCGTTCCTCCGGGATTGACACACCCCTCGACCCATGAAGGTATCTCACTACTTCTGACATGGCGGCATGTTCCCGTTTCTTGTCGTATGACATGGCTGCATCCCAAGTGGGAAGGTGCCACCCAATACAGCAAAAATGGCTACAATCAGAAATCATGCATTCCAAATGACTTTCGCGTCTTTTGCTGCAGACCTGTAGTGCACAGGAATTTCTGAGAATGCACAAATATGTTTGATCATTTGAGGTTGCAGGTATGCCTACATTGAGCTCTCAAACCGCCCAATGCAGGCACTTATAGCATACTTGGAGAGGATTGATCACTCCAAGGCCCATCGATGGCCATGGCACCCGTTTTCCATGTCGGCCAGGGTTGGGGTCGTTTTCCCTGTGTAGCCTCATGCTGCGAGCTGAAGAGCTGCGCAGCTCTTCTTGGCGCATTGGAGAACTCGAAGCCCAACAGCCCAACATCAGTTTAGTAATTCAATCTTTTGAGTTCCCATTGCACCCAGTTTGGGGCAAGTTCGTCGTGAAACCATCTTTTAGAACCCCCTGACGGAACAAGGTGCAAAGGGCAAGAGACAACAATCCAACATGATTTATATGTACATGATTGTACATGTATTGCATAATTCATCAACCAACTTTACGGGGTCCATTTCCTTTTGGTGAGTGTAGGGCCCGGGATGGTCCGCATTCTGGGGCAAATCCGAAACAGGGTGCATCTCGAGCTGGAATGCCTACTGGGAGCTCATCTGTTTCTACATCCCACGGATGTTTCTGGACGTTTTGAAGCAGATCCATGCGTTGGTCTTTGGAGGACTTACTCAGGATGGCCCAGGTTTGGGAGGAGATGTGTTTTCTCTTTCAAGACTTCAGTTTTCAGGATCCAAACTAGTAAGTTCAGCAATTATATCATCAGAGAAACTGACCAAAGATCGGTCAGTTTGGAAGGGTGGCCGTTGTCTCTGCTCGGGCCTTGGGCCCCTCTTCAGCACATCCTGGAAGTCGCCAAGCTTCAGCTCATCATCATGGTGGTATGGATGCCACTCAACCTAGCGGGTTGGACACCCAAATTGCTTCCGCCGCTTGCGCCAGGGTTTCCACATCTGGACCAGGAACCTATATATATAGGCCTTCAGATCCTTCAGGCTTGGTTCGTGGGCCGTGCCCATCACCTTCCTGGTGGACAGGGTGGAGGCCGAGCCTCCCAGCCCATGTTCACGGACACTCAGTGACGAGATGGGCCTGGTTCACGGCTGGCTTCTCTTCGAGATCCATGATTTCCACGAGATGCTTCACCTCAGTGTTATCTTCCATGCGACGAAAATGCATCAGATTTCTTGCAAAGAAGGCCCTCCAAAAACAAGCACGGAAGTGGAACCATGGGTCCTTGAAAAGTAAAGCGTTCTGTACCAACTGAGTCTGCCCTGTATGTTTATGGGGAGTGTAGTCACCTCCACGATATGGAATAGAAAGAACATTCAATTCCTCATTGACCATTTCCATTATTATCATTTTCACTATTTATACATCTATTTACTATATATAATACTATATGCGTGGGACACTTTGATAGGGGACCCTCTCAACCAATGGGTAGACTGGTCATTTTCCAAACCTTCCAAGGGGTCATTGCCTGGGAGGCATGGCTCCAGTGAAGGCCATCCCCGTTCCCCGTTCCCAACTGAAAGACCTCCATGCCATTCCGCACGCTGCTGCGCTGCTTCGTCCCCGTCCAATGGCCCGCACGCCTCGTAATTGGAGACTCCAATGGCCCGCGCGCGGCCGCTGCGCAGCGCAAACTCCATGGCCGCCCAGGTGTCACGACGTGCTTCGGCGCCCGGGTCATAGAATGAGGGCGTGCAAGCGGGACTGTCGACCCCTCCAGGCTGAGGCAGAAGCTCGGCAAAGCATGTTGGGAACACAAATAAGTGTGAAGAAAAGC